ATGAGGTAATCCTTGTCATGCATATAACCCCAGCTGAAAGTAAATTTCGCCAGAACACATTTTGGCAAGCAAGCTATAACATCAGCCTATATCTTTGCTGTGTTATCATCCTCGACACTCTGCTCATTATTACAGGTAAAAACCAATGTATTTTATACTTTATTGTTAGTAGTTTAAGAAGTTTAGGATAGCTTGTTTACTATGTTCAAATGCACTATATATTACTGCCAACCACTGTTAGTCGATAATGCAGTTGTAATATGAATTAGTATTAGAGTGATGTCCCTGTACAGTCTTTTATGGGCCTTAGCCTTAATGTACCTTTTAATATTTGAAGCAAGGCATTCCAGATTGAACAATTTATTCACGTTATTCAAACTTACACAATTATGTTTATTGTGATATTGTATAATCCTATGAGGTATTTTTAATAATGTAATTCATGTTTAATACTACTGAAATTATGATTATAGCCCTGTATAGTATAAAATTGTATTATCTATTATGCTAGTCTTTTTGACTTAATTATATAAATGGGGCTAGACACAAAACATTTTGGCAAGCAAGCTATAACATCAGCCTATATCTTTGCTGTGTTGTCACCCAGTAATTTTCGGGTTTGTGCCTCATTTTTGGTTGCGCCTCATCTCGGTCACGCCTGATTTCTGTCATGGTTCAATTCGGGTGCAGCTCATTTGGTGTCTGGCCTTTTCTGTTCTGAGTTGTTTTGGCCCGAATTAATTTTGTCCCAGGTCATTTCAGACCTGCTTGTTTCAGACTTGTTTGTTTCAGTCCTTGCTTTTAAGTACTACTTGTCACTGGTGTTGAAATCCAAATTTTGACCGCTTTTGAAATAAATGTTTCTGTATCATCAGCGTTTATTATTATTTTGAAAGAGGTTAAAGCTGTCTCTTATACACATCTAGATGTGTATAAGAGACAGGTATATAGTAGCCAAGTACTGCATCCAATCTTCATTAACTAACAGTACAGTACTATAATATTTTTGCTTGTATGGTTTTACCACTGTCTCTTATACACATCTAGATGTGTATAAGAGACAGTTATAGCCCTGTATAGTATAAAATTGTATTATCTATTATGCTAGTCTTTTTGACTTAATTATATAAATGGGGCTAGACACAATTCATTTTGGCAAGCAAGCTATAACATCAGCCTATATCTTTGCTGTGTTGTCATCCTCGACACTCTGCTCATTATTACAGTTTGAGCGAAGTAGTGATCTGTTAGGGGTGTCGTACTGTGATTGGGTTATCGAACCAACAGATGAGAGCAACGGAAGCGTTCGCGTGCATACTTGATCTGGTCGTGTGTCTGATGTGCTGTGGATTGTGAATGTAAAGCGTCCAGTTACACCAAGCAAAGCCAGGAGACAAGTCGCTACCTTAGATGTCCAACAAATCATAAGTTACAATTTTAATTGACTTATACTTTATATTTTTGTATGATCTTCAATATGTATTCTTGAGTTGAATGAATATATTGTGCCAACGCCTCTCACGTATCAAGTCGTCGACCGGTCACAAGTAGGAAAACTTTTTTTTCTTTCTTTGCTCAAAAAAAAAAAAAAATTTTGTTGTAAAAAACAAAAACAACTAAAATGCCGACCCTGCACTTCGTAAAATGTGGGTCAGTCGGGCGTGGCCAACACAATATTTCTTTTTATTTAGCCTTATTGAGGCTTAAAGATATTATGGCTTCAGAATGTAAGTGTAATCATATCTAAGAACCACTATGACCAGTGAATTCACTTCTAAAGCTTTCAAATATGTATGTTGCCTCCAAGTGCACAAATACACATTCTAGCTTCAAATGTGAAAATGATACACAAGCAGCCTAATGTTTTGTAAGCTCATCACTGACAGAACTAAAGGAATGCCTTATCACAAAGCCCATCAGCAGGAGTTTGCTTAGAAGATCAGCCACCCTGGTGGCCATAGGGATAACTTAGTCAAACCTTTTACACATTCATCATTAGCCATTGTACCTGTTAATTGTTGCATGATACATTTTCTACTACTTATATCATGTGATACATTTTATACTAAGTACTGTATAGAGGTTCTCAATTCTAGGATTGGAAGAAGGGGTCCATATAATTTTTGGCTTAACAGGGTTTTGAAAATGCAGGTCAAAATTATGTGTATTGGATGCAAAAAGTCAAATAAATCATAAACTGTAGCATTTATATTATTTAAATGAATTATATAGCATTTATATTTATGTATAAATTACTTTTACTTTTATTGTCTTATATTACTAATTAATATTTATATTTTATAATATTCTTATTTATGATTTGCGGTGACTTTAAACTACTTGAGTGAGATTTTTGGGGCGCGACTGGGGGAGGCGCACGTATTTAGGGAGGGGGGATGTATATGCGCCTAGATACACCACTGACAGGAAGTATTAACACCATGTACTAGCTGTTGGGTAGTACATTAATGTTGGCAGTTTTTTTATTTATTCATTATACTGTATATTCGGCAGAAAATCACAAATCAGAAAAAAGCCAGAGGGGTGCCAAGAGGTCTCTTACAGAGTGACAACATTAATGTATCACCTAATTTGATAATTGTCCGGATGGCAGTAGTGGCTCCATATATGAAGTCTCTTTATGAAGAAAGGGGAGTGAGTTATATTAGGCAAGGGGGAACTTGCATGATTTGAACCAATTAAACATTTGAATCAGGAGAAGATATGAAATTTGTAGAAAGAAAACCTGTAAGGCCTCAGCTCGTGATCTGGCAGTTGAATAACAAACATACCAAATTCAAACATCCTCTATCATTGATTATACACAGGCTTGCATATGTCAAATACAATGTCTCTGATAAACAAGTTAAACCATGGACCCTGGTAAGATTGCAAAACTAGGTTAACTGCACAATCTATTATTACTACAAGCACTTGCATGATTCAGCAAAAACTTCACTGAAGATAAACAAAGAAACCAGTCAAGTGTATATAGTGCTTGCCCAGGTAGCTTGACCCTGAAATGTGAAGGCATGAACTTATTACAATAATGATAGGAACTCAATTACTTTTCAAAGACTATTTGTATATTCAATTCAAAATTATTTTAGGAAAAGTAGCAAAAACAAAGTACATGCTGCTGCCTTCCATGGACTGCCAAAAAGTAAAAAAAAACCCTGTCAAGTGGCTCTCCAGACAGCATCAGTACAAATGAACAGTACTAAAACTATTATTATTTTAACTTCTTAAAGACACAAAAGATACAAATACAGTAAATGCCAAATCTGGCAGTAAAATGAAGAGAAAGTATACAAAAAAAAGAAGAAAAAAAAAAAAAGAAAGATTCTAATATTTCAAAGAAGCTCTACATAAACTATGTCTCATAGTGAGGCTTTTGAAGAATAGTTCTTTTGTTTGTAACAGGAATTGAACCCAACGAAAGTTATGTAGTAAATGTTTCCCTGGAAACATCGGTAAATAGAATTCATATTATTGTTAGCCTAGTTAAGCTTTGCTAAACAGTATGAACTTTGAGATACTGACTTGGATACATTAATTTCATTTTATTAAATATATAAGTGTAGTTATTTAATTAAAATACAGAAACTTTATTTTTCTGATGAGTTTATTATGTTTATTTAAAAAATAGAAAAGCAAGTAATGTTTTTATTTGGCCTACTGATTTAATGTTTTTTCATGACGAGTACCTTGCTCTAGTTTCAGATTAGAGTAATGCCTTCACAGAGAATTTGGGTCCATTAATAGTGAAAATTAAAAAACATTCAACCTTTTCTGAGAAGGTTAAGGTAATAATTTTATAATTTCTTTCATTAGAACATATTCTATATCACTACAATGAATGAACACAAAAAACTCTGGTGGTTAAATATTTAATGAATTACAATATATACATGGCCCTTGAATTCTGTATCTATATCTGTATGGCTTACTGCACAGAACCTCACATCTGAGTATATTAGTGCAGGCGCAGAGTTCTTTCAAGACATTGTGGACCATCCATAAATTTCTCCAAGTTGCATCGTAACAGTCATAATCAAAACAAATGCCCATAGTGAATAGGTAGGAATGAACTACACCAAGGTACTAAGACTACAGCAGGGTATCTAGCTAAATTTGAATGACTACACCCTGCCCCAGCTTCTAACAGTACATTATTGGCTGACAAAAAAACCAATAAAACAATCTGACTATGTCAGAGGAGATGGAGAGGTGAGATATAAGGGTGTATGGTACTTTTCTACTTACTTTTGTAGTTACCTGCGTCTGCTTTTTATTGCTGTCTTGCCTTGAATGTTGTTGAAAAGATACTCTGCCATTTGACTGTGTTCATTTCTAGCATTGTCAGCCTTCAAATATTAAAGACAAACACAATAACAACTAATTATTACTGTAATCAGATTCTAAGGATACCAGATGTATGGTTCATGCATAACAAATATTCAAAATATATTTCAATGAAAAATGTTTACATATATTTTACATTATTGTACGGTCTATAAATACTTTATTAAGTATCATTGTTTCAAATAAGAAAGATAACAATACAAAACAGAAAATAGCAGTTTTTATTAATACATTGGTTCATGAAAGCAGATTAAATACATTTTTTGTTGGAATGTTTAACCTAAAGGGAACAGGTCAACCATGCTTTCTCATTGTGTCATCTTTGTATATTTGCATTTGTGTGTGAAGTTAAAATATTTGTTCTTAGAGGATACCTTCGTCAATACTAGTTTTCTATCTTTAGAATTACAGTTGAACTTGCATAAATCGAATCCAAAATGGCATTGACAAACTGTTCGATAAACTGTTTTTGATAAAATTTGACTTGCACATCGTTAATTAATGGAAAACACAACAATTTATCATGTAAAAAAAGATCGACTTAGAAAATATTAAACTTAGGTAAGTTTAACTGTACACTGAAAACTTTATTAAAGCCAATATTGAGATTTTTATTACTTCATCCATTTCTCGAAACATCTCATCCACATCTTCTTGCATCTTGTTGCAATGAGTATAAAGATCATCTCCACCAATCACATGAGGCATATTCTGTTGTCCTGGATAGGATGCCTAGATGAAAAACATATATTAAATAAAAAATGGAAATCAACATCTCTGATTTGCTGTTGCATAACTTATCAACTATTATTAAAGATTCATTGTCTATGTTACAAATTAAATTTGTATATTAAATTTATTATCATTCAATTATAAAAAAATTGGATATTTACCCATGAAATGGAATCAGTAGCAAATAAAATTGAAACTTAAAAAATTAATTCTATGAGCAATTAAATGTTGATTATACTACATCATTAAATTTACCTTTTTAAACCGCTTGAAGTTTTTAACATCCCCCAAGACTACTCTCTGATCATTAGCATCTTCACTCTGCCTGTTTGATTGTCGGCACACTAGTGAAGCTTCACAAGTTCTACTCAAGCTCACTGGAAGGTCTAAAAATTCTGGCTTTATATCAACTGGATTTAACTTGATTAAATTCTAGATCATGAAATGTAAATGAAACATTTTTGTGACATCTACTGATCACATGTATACTTCAATAAAGTGTTTTTAGCAGAGGCTTTGTATAATGGGGCTGCCTGAAAGCTTAATACCCTACGTTCAGTAATGAATAAAGGACTTTTACCTATTATTTACTGTACATTATTAACTATTTTTTGTCCAACTAGTTTACATCGTTAATGTGTGTAATAACAAACAAAGAATATTATGGAATAAATTCACATTTTACATTTTTGAAAACCTCTGGCTACATGCTCAATCTTAACCAAACACAACATTAAGATGGAATGAGGCCGCAAGCTAAATCACAACCAATGACATGGAGAACATAATGTTTTTTCTTTTTTTTTATTTCAACAATTAATGATAAAGAGATACATATACATTGACAGTTGAAATAAGGCAAACATTTAAGAAACAGTGACAAAAAACAGTTTTGTCTCAAACTTAAATTATTTTTAACAATGGAGAAAAAAGCAAGATGTTAACATTTTCCATAAAACATTACAGTTAAATGTGTGGGATTTCTAAACTTACGTTTCAGTCACATATAGATATGAAAGAAAGGTTCTCCCACCATCCTGGGCAAGATTCTCTCATTTGTGTACCGTATTTACCATTTGGTGTTAAGTTTTAAGCGCAATAGTTATCAAATCATTTAAAATTCAGACATTATGAAAGGTTGAATCCATGGCAGGCAAATACAAATATTAAATAGTTTAGCTTGTTTAGTACTGTTACTGACAAATGTTGAAAGATACCTGAGTTTGTACACTGAAGAATCCACTAGGTAATGGTCTTCTGTACACCGGTTGATTTTCTATACTGCTTGCTGTTGTCAGCGACATGACCTGGAAGAAATGATACATGATCTCGATAATTATAAAATAGTGAAACAATGTCCCAATTTTTGGCACGTCTCCATTCATGCTTACGCAAAAGACAAACATGATGAGGTTTCCCTATCATATGTAACTGGCTGGGCATGCTCTGAACAAATGTATGATCATTGGATATACAATCAATGCTAGGATCTGCTCAATGGAGGGGCTACAGTATAACCCACTTCATCCCCCATCCCCCTTTACTGGTGCCAGCACTGTATACAAATACAATCAATCCTACACCATGAAAACCTCCTCTTCTTTCCCCGGAGAATAGTATTCCCATTGCATCTGAATCTATTTCGAAGTTATTGTTCAAACAGCTGTTTTTATTTTTTATTCACTTTTGCATAGACCCAACACATTAGTAATTTCCACATAATTACTGTAAATAGCAGGCCAACGTACAAAAATAAAATAGCAGGGCCATCAGAAACACACCGGCTTTGGCCAGACCATGTTTTCTCAATTCTATTTGTTTGTAACATACAGTTAAATCATAAACTACCTTCAACAAGCTGCTTTAAGCGGTCAATCAGTTGTTTCATTATTAGGGAACAAGTTTTTATATTCCGGCGTATAACCCACCAATTTTATACATTAGAATTACCAATATTTTTAGCTCAGTATCAGCTTTTATGTCATCATAATTATAGAATGATTGATTGAATAATAGATACACAGGCTCACTAAATATTTTACTATATCAAATTTGAATAAAACTTGATAAACATGCACACTAAGTATTTTATTATATCAAATTTGAATAAAACTTTACCAAAATGACTTTTAGTCAGAAATTTTAACATTTATATATACAGCTGTCTACACGGGAGGAATGGGGATTTCCCTCTGGCACGCTGCCCTAGGGAGTTGTTTTACAAGCATTTTTAGTTGTTTTTAATCGGCCGATAATGTTGAAATTATGTTACATTTTGTAAATAATGATTACTCAATCTAAACGTAAGAAACCTCTGTTTATCTCTGTTTAAATTGGTTGGCCACTCATAACTAGACCTGTATTTATTATTTATTATTTAATATTTTGTATTTTTTATTATAAATTACAATTTGTAAATACTGTACAGGTGCAGGTCTAGAAAGAATATTAGGTAGGTCCTATGTTTGTGTTTATTTAGTATTTATTAGTCACCATTATAATACTAGAATGATTGATTGAATAATAGATAAATATGCGCACTAAGTATTATTAAATTTGAATAAATTTAACTAAAATTGTCATGCTCGAAAATTTAACACAGTAAATATCGACTGTACGCGAGAAATTGTAATTTCCCTTGATACAACTGTAAATATTAATGCAAGATACAACTGCATGTTAACTTTGCGTGTGCTTCTTGTTATAACAAACACACGTGGCTTTGCAATGAGTTGTTTATAGGAAAATATTATCCTACCGAAAACACATGCAAAAAACAATATTTTAAGATCATGATCATGAACAAGTGACATCGTAACGACGTCGAATGTGTTTGTAAAATGGACCAAAATTGGAATCAGGTGCGATCCATGGACCGCGGGTATGTAGCTGAGGTTGAATATCTTCTTAACCCTTATCGTATCGTAGGCGCAATAGTGCGACAGCGAAAAATTTACCATTGAATGCCCTAGGCGCACTAGTGCGACACATCCAAGTATACATGGATTTCGCCCTCTATACTGTCTACATATCATTCTGATTCTCATTTGTTTTTGCATCCAGGTTACTTACACTTTGAACTTCTTGAATAAACAAAAATCTTGACAACTTTTATTGAAAAATATTTTATAAATCAAAAAAAATTTAACTTATTTTTGAAAGTTTCAGTATGGCCGCGCAGCAGCGATATACTGTGGAACGAGCCATACACGATGTTTTTGATGATAATAGTGTGGATAGAGACAGGAACATTTTTGTGGAATTATAATTGTGTTTCTGTAGGCTAGTGAGAGTGATGGCTATAATGGGGAAGATGCAAATATCGCTGGTGGTGCAGCGGGGACGAGGTAGTACTAGGGCCTAGCCTAGGCCTAGACGAAGTTAGGCCTAGCCTATACAAAGAAATAGGCCAAATTTGATGGCGGAAACGGAACATTTCCCTGATTGTAAAACAATTTATTTTACAAACCAGTATCACATACAGAATATATGTGCTATGAGGATTATTTTTTTTATAGTTTTTTGTTTAGGGTTCAATAATAAACATACCTAATATTAATGAATAGCATTCACAAAGATTCAATTAACTCTCATTACATAGCAAACAGAAAATTTTATATATGTTGCCTCAACCTGTCTACTGCTGTTATATAAATGGCTTATACAAGATGCTTCCATAACCAGAAAATAATTCTAAGTCATAACTTAAACTATTTAAAATCAAAACCAAATTTTAATTGTTTCAAACAAATAATACTATTCCAAGTTTTTTATTCGCATTTTGAAGGTTTCCCATTTTTATTACCAGTACCCCAGTTAACATCTTGCATGTTCTCCCTCAAGCGGAAGGGTACTCTCTACCAAGCCTGTGTTTGATCTGTGATGCTCTATGGCCGTGAAGCCTGGGCAGTAAAGGTAGAAGACCTGTCTCTTATACACATCTTAATTGTTCTTGTATTCAGGAAGTAGGTCACTTTGTAATAAATTTAGACAGAGTGTTGATAAAAATTCAACAGATAAAAGGGAGTATAAGAATCTCACTTCAATGAATAAATTCACTATAATCTCACTCACCCTTTCAGAATTGTGTTAACTTTACTGGCCCACTGCTGGTTCAAAGGAACTCCTGCCTGACTGTCTTCATCTGGGCTAGAGTGCACTACACATGTCCCCGGCCGTGTCAACAACTCAACATCCTTTGAATGCTCAGGCATCAGTATGCAATTGCCACCACCAAATGTCAAAGCAGTGCTCAATGACTTGTACTTTATTCAAATAAAATACACATTTCTTTTTAATCAATGTTCGAGGAAAAGCAAATGTTTGAATTCTCCATTTAATAGCAGATCTCCAAGCTGCTCTGTTGTGAGCCTGTCTCTTATACACATCTAGATGTGTATAAGAGACAGAGGATAAGCAAGATACGCTCAAATGAGTATAAAAATTCTGACGTAATAGATAAAAATTAAGTTTTTTGATTTCGGATGGCAATATAATGACATCACAATGTCCGATCAGCCATAATGATCTATAAAATCATATCTACAACTCATGTCCTTTCAGGATATGTAATAAAAAGTGGGGATCACCACGCATCCTAAGGAATAACTGATTAAAAATACTTTTGGCATATATAACTGATTAAAAATATATTTTGGCACATTTTCACTGATGTCGACACAAAATGCATGCACAGATTTGTATGTTTAATGCACACGTACAGCATTGTTATTGCCCCTAAAATGACATGGTTATATGTGAAAACAGTGTCAGAAACCCTAAATATGTAAAGAAACGTAATTCATAGCTTCTGTACGTGCTTTGTGCGTAAAATGTGTGCACGGAGCGAAAAATTTTGAAATTCAGAAATGCTCAAAGAAAAAAAATGGGTGATATGCTGTCGCAGGGTTTTACCTAATAATATTATTGTATATAACATAAATTTAAGTGCAGTGCTCAAATGTTTGATTGAATAACTATTATACTGTTCATATAGAGTAATAAGGTCTCAGCAACAGGTGATAATGATGATGATTATAATTAAAACAAAAATGTGTACTAAGACCTCTTTTTATTTTCTGTTTTTTCAAGTCTTGTTTCATCAATGATGCTTCTCTCTCCTAACCCCTTTGTTCTTGGAAGTCTCTTACAAGCCTGCAGCTGTGTTTGAGTCTCGTGGGCTAGAATGTCATGTGTGTCAAGAGACTGAGGTACTGGAGCTTGCAAAAGATTAAGTCCGCCTAAGACAAAAAATATATAAATTGAAACTATTATGATGGTGGTATGTGGCGTGACAGTGAACCTATTGAGTGTAATTTCCTTTATATGTTGTTGTCCTTAAATTTGTGTTTTTGGTAGTACTTGCCTTCCAAAAGATGTGTATAAGAGACAGGTTGCCTTGTGATCCATTGCTTCCATGTACCTTGGAATCAAATTTTGGCATTTTACTTGTTGATTGGTAGTTCTCGTCATTCTCACGAATTCTAAATATAGAAATAAATACATCTTCAATACTCTTTCAATCAATGCTTCCAAAAACATTAATTCAAAAATTTGTATTTCCTTACTCACAGCTGTAACAGCACCAGTATGTGGTATAACATGGAAGACCACAAATATGTAAATATTTCTAAAATTAACTTTGAACAAATAACTTTTCTTTATTTTAAAAAACACTATTTGATATTAAACATATTGTTAACTAGATTTAAATTCGTCATAGACAAATTTTAGGTGATACATGTACTGTACACATGATCCGATAAGTTTTCCATAGCTAGAAAATTTTGAAATGCTCAAAATGGCCTGAAACGTGCTTTAAATTGGTCAAAAAGTGATATTGAGAATTTTAAAAATCAACGCACATGTACGCGCATGTCATGACGAGCGCACAGAAGGTAATGGCTCACGAAGTTGACCCTTGATATGAAGTATACTTGTGTCAGTTTTGTAAACCAGTCTGCCGCCATCTGGCGGGGTTGACTTATGATAAATCATAGAATTTCGAAAAGATATAAACAAAGAAAATGGGAGGAGGGGGGGAGTGGTGGTGTCAGAAAAAACATTCACTTTGACATTTGATGTTATCAACAAAATGAAAATGGAGGGCACAATAAAATAAAATTGTCTCAGCTATAACATACTGAAACTTAGGAGACGTTCGATCAAGGATAAGCAAGATACGCTCAAATGAGTATAAAAATTCTGACGTAATAGATAAAAATTAAGTTTTTTGATTTCGGATGGCAATATAATGACATCACAATGTCCGATCAGCCATAATGATCTATAAAATCATATCTACAACTCATGTCCTTTCAGGATATGTAATAAAAAGTGGGGATCACCACGCATCCTAAGGAATAACTGATTAAAAATACTTTTGGCATATATAACTGATTAAAAATATATTTTGGCACATTTTCACTGATGTCGACACAAAATGCATGCACAGATTTGTATGTTTAATGCACACGTACAGCATTGTTATTGCCCCTAAAATGACATGGTTATATGTGAAAACAGTGTCAGAAACCCTAAATATGTAAAGAAACGTAATTCATAGCTTCTGTACGTGCTTTGTGAGTAAAATGTGTGCACGGAGCGAAAAATTTTGAAATTCAGAAATGCTCAAAGAAAAAAAATGGGTGATATGCTGTCGCAGGGTTTTACCTAATAATATTATTGTATATAACATAAATTTAAGTGCAGTGCTCAAATGTTTGATTGAATAACTATTATACTGTTCATATAGAGTAATAAGGTCTCAGCAACTGGTGATAATGATGATGATTATAATTAAAACAAAAATGTGTACTAAGACCTCTTTTTATTTTCTGTTTTTTCAAGTCTTGTTTCATCAATGATGCTTCTCTCTCCTAACCCCTTTGTTCTTGGAAGTCTCTTACAAGCCTGCAGCTGTGTTTGAGTCTCGTGGGCTAGAATGTCATGTGTGTCAAGAGACTGAGGTACTGGAGCTTGCAAAAGATTAAGTCCGCCTAAGACAAAAAATATATAAATTGAAACTATTATGATGGTGGTATGTGGCGTGACAGTGAACCTATTGAGTGTAATTTCCTTTATATGTTGTTGTCCTTAAATTTGTGTTTTTGGTAGTACTTGCCTTCCAAACCCATACAATGCATCATTGAGATTTGAAACTGTCAACAAATTCAAATGAAGCATAGTCTTACCCATAATGCAAGGTGGAATTCTAAGAATATTTATTAATGCACTTACTTTGGGAAACTGTAGGATTGCAATGCAGTTGAGTTGAACAATAGAGGACAGCTAAACCAATCTCAGAATCTTGAATAGGACGCAATCCACACCTATATCAAACACATAAGCGTCATAAAACCTGGGTGAAAATATAAATGCATTCAAAGTACTCTAATAATATTCTACAAACCAAGTAATTGTTCTTGTATTCAGGAAGTAGGTCACTTTGTAATAAATTTAGACAGAGTGTTGATAAAAATTCAACAGATAAAAGGGAGTATAAGAATCTCACTTCAATGAATAAATTCACTATAATCTCACTCACCCTTTCAGAATTGTGTTAACTTTACTGGCCCACTGCTGGTTCAAAGGAACTCCTGCCTGACTGTCTTCATCTGGGCTAGAGTGCACTACACATGTCCCAGGCCGTGTCAACAACTCAACATCCTTTGAATGCTCAGGCATCAGTATGCAATTGCCACCACCAAATGTCAAAGCAGTGCTCAATGACTTGTACTTTATTCAAATAAAATACACATTTCTTTTTAATCAATGTTCGAGGAAAAGCAAATGTTTGATTTCTCCATTTAATAGCAGATCTCCAAGCTGCTCTGTTGTGAGCCAACCCCCTTTACCAGAATGTCGGTTTGTGTAGCCATGAGACTTCACTTTTTTAGTACTCTTGCGACAACCAAATATTAATTAAAATGTATTATCTAATATAGCAATCTATCATAAGCTCCAAACCATAATATTGCCAGAAGATAGATTTTAATATTAGTATGATTAACAAACCTTCTTTTCAGTTAAGAAGACAAATGTTTTGTCTCTGAACACTGTTTTTCTAAGCTCATTTGGTTGAAATGATACTTCATCTTTCCTGATGGCGACTTCAACAACACCTGGCATGAAACTAAAAGAAACCACAATCAAGATAAATAAATTTGGTAATGGTTTATTGTCATCTCTCAATAAAATGTTGCAGTGAAATAACGGCACCATTCGCAGCAAGGATGAGACACCATAAAATATGCTATTTTTGGAAACACAATACAATACATGAACAAAACACACAAACATGATAAAAACACAACTGACGATGGCTTAATAGAGAGGTGGCCGATGTCAAACATAAATAATATTTCAGTCTGTTGAAATTGAATGAATGACATACTTGCTGCTGTCTGGTAAGTTAGTGTGACTTTCTGCTGCTTCATTCAATTTGTTGACATACTCCATAGTAACAATTGGACAGCAGGAGACTAGTGCACAGATAACCTAGTAGTAAACACACATATTTAAATTGCGGAGCTGAAGACATTAGTAATGCATTAAACCATTTTTAGACATTGGAATCATAGACCACTACTACAAGTTAACAACCACTGAAATCTGCTTGAAACCACAAAATTCAAGAAAAAACAGAGTAAAACTGAAATATGCTAATACCATTAAAAATTAAAAAAAATTCACCTTTTAAAAACTACCATACTTACTTTTACTGTGACATTGATTGCAGCCATTACAAGGTGTGTGCATTCCTGTCTCTTATACACATCTAGATGTGTATAAGAGACAGGAGTAATAAGGTCTCAGCAACTGGTGATAATGATGATGATTATAATTAAAACAAAAATGTGTACTAAGACCTCTTTTTATTTTCTGTTTTTTCAAGTCTTGTTTCATCAATGATGCTTCTCTCTCCTAACCCCTTTGTTCTTGGAAGTCTCTTACAAGCCTGCAGCTGTGTTTGAGTCTCGTGGGCTAGAATGTCATGTGTGTCAAGAGACTGAGGTACTGGAGCTTGCAAAAGATTAAGTCCGCCTAAGACAAAAAATATATAAATTGAAACTATTATGATGGTGGTATGTGGCGTGACAGTGAACCTATTGAGTGTAATTTCCTTTATATGTTGTTGTCCTTAAATTTGTGTTTTTGGTAGTACTTGCCTTCCAAACCCATACAATGCATCATTGAGATTTGAAACTGTCAACAAATTCAAATGAAGCATAGTCTTACCCATAATGCAAGGTGGAATTCTAAGAATATTTATTAATGCACTTACTTTGGGAAACTGTAGGATTGCAATGCAGTTGAGTTGAACAATAGAGGACAGCTAAACCAATCTCAGAATCTTGAATAGGACGCAATCCACACCTATATCAAACACATAAGTGTCATAAAACCTGGGTGAAAATATAAATGCATTCAAAGTACTCTAATAATATTCTACAAACCAAGTAATTGTTCTTGTATTCAGGAAGTAGGTCACTTTGTAATAAATTTAGACAGAGTGTTGATAAAAATTCAACAGATAAAAGGGAGTATAAGAATCTCACTTCAATGAATAAATTCACTATAATCTCACTCACCCTTTCAGAATTGTGTTAACTTTACTGGCCCACTGCTGGTTCAAAGGAACTCCTGCCTGACTGTCTTCATCTGGGCTAGAGTGCACTACACATGTCCCAGGCCGTGTCAACAACTCAACATCCTTTGAATGCTCAGGCATCAGTATGCAATTGCCACCACCAAATGTCAAAGCAGTGCTCAATGACTTGTACTTTATTCAAATAAAATACACATTTCTTTTTAATCAATGTTCGAGGAAAAGCAAATGTTTGAATTCTCCATTTAATAGCAGATCTCCAAGCTGCTCTGTTGTGAGCCAACCCCCTTTACCAGAATGTCGGTTTGTGTAGCCATGAGACTTCACTTTTTTAGTACTCTTGCGACAACCAAATATTAATTAAAATGTATTATCTAATATAGCAATCTATCATAAGCTCCAAACCATAATATTGCCAGAAGATAGATTTTAATATTAGTATGATTAACAAACCTTCTTTTCAGTTAAGAAGACAAATGTTTTGTCTCTGAACACTGTTTTTCTAAGCTCATTTGGTTGAAATGATACTTCATCTTTCCTGATGGCGACTTCAACAACACCTGGCATGAAACTAAAAGAAACCACAATCAAGATAAATAAATTTGGTAATGGTTTATTGTCATCTCTCAATAAAATGTTGCAGTGAAATAACGGCACCATTCGCAGCAAGGATGAGACACCATAAAATATGCTATTTTTGGAAACACAATACAATACATGAACAAAACACACAAACATGATAAAAACACAACTGACGATGGCTTAATAGAGAGGTGGCCGATGTCAAACATAAATAATATTTCAGTCTGTTGAAATTGAATGAATGACATACTTGCTGCTGTCTGGTAAGTTAGTGTGACTTTCTGCTGCTTCATTCAATTTGTTGACATACTCCATAGTAACAATTGGACAGCAGGAGACTAGTGCACAGATAACCTAGTAGTAAACACACATATTTAAATTGCGGAGCTGAAGACATTAGTAATGCATTAAACCATTTTTAGACATTGGAATCATAGACCACTACTACAAGTTAACAACCACTGAAATCTGCTTGAAACCACAAAATTCAAGAAAAAACAGAGTAAAACTGAAATATGCTAATACCATTAAAAATTAAAAAAAATTCACCTTTTAAAAACTACCATACTTACTTTTACTGTGACATTGATTGCAGCCATTACAAGGTGTGTGCATTCCTGTCTCTTATACACATCTAGATGTGTATAAGAGACAGGAGTAATAAGGTCTCAGCAACTGGTGATAATGATGATGATTATAATTAAAACAAAAATGTGTACTAAGACCTCTTTTTATTTTCTGTTTTTTCAAGTCTTGTTTCATCAATGATGCTTCTCTCTCCTAACCCCTTTGTTCTTGGAAGTCTCTTACAAGCCTGCAGCTGTGTTTGAGTCTCGTGGGCTAGAATGTCATGTGTGTCAAGAGACTGAGGTACTGGAGCTTGCAAAAGATTAAGTCCGCCTAAGACAAAAAATATATAAATTGAAACTATTATGATGGTGGTATGTGGCGTGACAGTGAACCTATTGAGTGTAATTTCCTTTATATGTTGTTGTCCTTAAATTTGTGTTTTTGGTAGTACTTGCCTTCCAAACCCATACAATGCATCATTGAGATTTGAAACTGTCAACAAATTCAAATGAAGCATAGTCTTACCCATAATGCAAGGTGGAATTCTAAGAATATTTATTAATGCACTTACTTTGGGAAACTGTAGGATTGCAATGCAGTTGAGTTGAACAATAGAGGACAGCTAAACCAATCTCAGAATCTTGAATAGGACGCAATCCACACCTATATCAAACACATAAGTGTCATAAAACCTGGGTGAAAATATAAATGCATTCAAAGTACTCTAATAATATTCTACAAACCAAGTAATTGTTCTTGTATTCAGGAAGTAGGTCACTTTGTAATAAATTTAGACAGAGTGTTGATAAAAATTCAACAGATAAAAGGGAGTATAAGAATCTCACTTCAATGAATAAATTCACTATAATCTCACTCACCCTTTCAGAATTGTGTTAACTTTACTGGCCCACTGCTGGTTCAAAGGAACTCCTGCCTGACTGTCTTCATCTGGGCTAGAGTGCACTACACATGTCCCAGGCCGTGTCAACAACTCAAGATGCACGGTAGAGATTGCATCTTTAGATCTCTGATTTTGTTTACAAATTCACGGACTAGTGCTGTCTCGTAAGAATTTCGTAGGACGTGTTAAGAATGACAAAATATTCTCTGTATCTACTGGAACCGAGCTGCATAGCTTGTATTCCACTATTTGCATTCAAACCTAGGCTGTGTATATATATTGCCTTGGTTTGGCTCTGTAATCATTAGTGGTCGTGGGACTAGTTTGGGCCCTACCTAAGCTGGTCGGCGAACATTAATAAAATGAGGAATATCAAGAAATACATAAGGGTCTTCGTTTTATAGACACCCTATATGGGTACCTACAAAACAAAGACCCACATTTTTTTCTCTCAATCATGATGAAAATAATGTTTTTAAATCACTTCATGCTATGTCGTGTATACAGTATTCGTCTTTTTAGCACATTATCGACTGAATCTGAGTCAATTTAATGATTTACTCTTTATTCCAGTTCCAAAGTGGCAACCAATGTTGTACGTCCATGGCTGGTGGCAGAGCGCGTCTTGGCGCTGCTACCCTCTAAACGAAAGTAAGGTTTGGCCTAGCGGTACGCGTATTCGGGGCCTACAAAAACCTTGATTAATCCATTCATAAACTTGTTCCATGTTAAAATAAACAGTAGGAATGCTGTATAGTTACGCATATGCGTAGCATAGGTCATTTGGTAGTGACACCAACATAGGATGAATGAGAGGGTATCGGGTGCAGGTCAACTCGGCCACAAGTCAACTCGGCCACAAGTCAACTCGGCCACAAGTCAACTCGGCCACAAGTCAACTCGGCCACAAGTCAACTCGGCCACAAATCAACTCGGCCACAAGTCAACTCGGCCACAAGTCAAAAAGTTCGGCTACAGCCAACTCGGCCACAAGTCAACTCGGCCACAAGTCATCTCGGCCACAAATCAACTCGGCCACAAGTCAACTCGGCCACAAGTTATTTAATGTAAATCTAAGATATTGCATCCTTTTTCTTCAATATATGATTGAAATAAAGTACTGTACACAGTATGTTTTAGTAAAACAGGACCACCACACTACCAAAAGAGATTTGAATGCTATTGTCTATGAATTAAAAAGAGTTATTTATTAATGTGTTCGTCTTCTGTTTACTCACAACATTCTACTT